CCACAATACCGATAAGTGATTAATAAAAGTCAAAAGACCAAAGAGGTCACCTTAATAAAAAAAAAAAAAAAAAAAAGTAAAAAAGAATATTGATAATAACTTAAAAAGCAGGTTTATATAATATGTCAGAGTTTTGAATTATTAATATAAGAACTTTAGAATGAGTTTTTGAGAGTAAGATTAGAATAAAATGTATTAAATAGAATGTATAAAGTAGAGATTAGAACTGATGAATTTCAAAAATTGTTCAATCACAAATTTTAAAGTTTCAAGCATTAGTAAAAAATTTTGACTAAATATTTGAATATTCACTGAGTTTTTTAAGATATCAAACACATAATAAATTATATAAAAAAAAATTTATCATAATATTAACTTTATATTGATACTACTGTACATATTAATTACTTAATACTAATATATAATTTGCATAAGCTTAACTTTATATTCATAAAAGTTTGTTGGTTTTGCATTTATGAAAGTTCATAATTAATTCTAAATAACAAAAACTATAAAACTAATTTTTTTATATTATATTTTAAAAATACTATTTTATCAAATAGTTTTGGTTTTAATAATGTTCTTTTTGCACTCATAATATTTTCTGTATCAGAAAACAAATGTTCACTTAGTGTGCTTGTTGCAAGATTTGAAAGAAATTTTTGTGCTATTTCACTTAAAATTGAGAACTGTTATTTTTGTAAAGACTATCATACCACAAAGTTTGCATCAAAATCAAGCTTAGGAAGAGCAAGATAATTCATAATTTCATTCTTATCTTGTTTTTAAGAATTTGAAGAAAAGACAGATTTAATAAATCCTTTATAAAAACTTGTTTTTTATTTTAGTTAGTTGTTAAAATTGAAGTCAAAAGGACTGAAGCAACTTGTTTGAATGAATAGTATTAAGCTTTAAATTCTGTATACATTATATGTAATGCTTCTTTAGTTTTGTTCTATTTGCTAATTAGTAAAAAGTGTAATCTTTTGCATCTAGAGTTAAGTTAACATGCCAAATATATATTTATATTAGGATCTGGCCAATAGTGAAGTAAAGCCTTATAAAAAAACAACTTTATACAATTCAATAAGCCATTTATATTAATAAATATATTAATTTTTATTTATTATTTTTTTGGACCTTTTATAGTTTTTTCTTTATCATCTTCATATTCAAGATCTTCATCAAATATAATATTATTTGAATTAAGATTCAAAGATAAATCAAGATCTTGAATAGTAGAACATAGCTTGGCTATAAGAGCTATAATTAATAAATATATTATACTAATTATAACATATTTACTTCTATTAAAATATTCTGTATTTATTAAATAGACCAAGTAAAATAGTTAGATCATTCTTTAAGTTTCACTCAGCTTCTGTAAACATTATTTTTTTAAGATAATTATAGTTCTAGCATGTATTTGGTAAATTGTTTTTGCTTAACATTATCAAAACTATATTAATGTAGTCTTTAACTAGAGGAAGCCATTCTTATGTTATAAAGAATATGTTTTAGCAAGTTAAAACATCATATTTTAAATAAAATATTTTTTTTGTATCTCAAATTATCTATATAATTAATGTATATATAAATTAAAAATATTAAATAAAATTATATTTATTTTATTTTATATTTGCTTCTGGAATTTGTAAACTTTTTTGTATATTTTCTAATCTTTTATTTTGTTTTGGATTTATAAAAAAATTTATTAATCAGTTTGCATATACTACAAATACTTCTGCTAGTAAAAGGTCCTTGCCAATTATAAGCTAAAGTATATGTACTGTACAGAACATTCTAATAACTTCTTTTATTTTATTTATAGCACTTTTTATATTTGCTTTATTATCTGAGATAATAGTAAAAATCTTATTTGTTAATTTCTAATACTCAATTTGATTATTAATAATATTGTAAATATTAACTGATATATGTAGATATTTTAAATAAGATAAAGTAAAAAAAGTCTTCTGCATTTTAAAGCTTTTATCTATTTATGAATATATGATTTCTAAAAAGCTTTGTCAATTTTATGCTATCTATAAATCGATTGTTAAACATACAGTCTTATTAGTTAATTCTAATTATTGTTTCAGTAAATTTGTTAAATAATTATAAGTTACATGAATAAGTTGCTTCACATTTTTTTTATATAGCATAATGAATACAGAATCCAGATTATGAACAAATTCTTAAAATAATTCTTTTGACACAAGATTAAGCAGTATATTTTTATGAATTATAAATTTTAATAAAGATTAAATAAGAAAATTAATTTTTGCTTTTGAATAAGTTTTATTATTATTAACTTAATTATTCTAATAAAAAAATAAATTTTTTTTTTTTTATAATGCCAATTATAATACTTTATTTAATTAATACCAGATTAATACATTAGAGTTATTACATTTTATTTGTGCTACTATATTACTATATAAACATCCAATATGACATTATATTTACACTTTTCTAAATTAAAACTAGTACTATAGTTTTTAACTATTGTTACTAATTAAGATAAGGTTGTAGCCATTTTGTAGTACTATATTTTCTAATTCTACCTAACCATACTCCCTCTATTTACTTTCTGCAATAACCCATCTCTTCTTCCAAATTGGTTGACTTTAGCAGATTTTTGCTTTTCTTACTACCAATTTGATGTATACAGCCTTCTATATATTGGTATCAATTAGTATAACTGAATTTATTGAAATTATGAATTATCATTTGCAGCTATCATATACTCTTTTTTGTGTATTTCCATAGTTGTTATACTATTGTACTTCTAATTTGGTATTGCAAAAGGACCTGGGACCTTAACTTATTATATATGAGTATAGTAACTATCAACGATGTTGTGATGTATAACTATTGTCTTGCTTCTTAAGAGTTTATAGTATCTGTCTAAGATGTTCTAATTTAAATAAACCAATTCTTTATCACAGATTTTCTTTGCATGCATCACTTTGCTCACTATTTCAGTTTTAACTACATTAGTATTATCCTTCTAATCAAGTACTCTGCAAGTTGAATACAAAAATGTTAGTGCTGTCTCATCTTGATAGAACTAACCTGTGCAATACTTTTTAGTAGTAGAACCTTCTGTAATGCCATTGTCACATGTAGTACCTTTTTTCTGCAAAGTCAATCTTCTTCTAGGAATTTCTAATTCATTCTTGTACTTCATCTTGGGACTTACTACAGGGCTTTGCATCCAATTTGGCTCTTATATTAGATTACAGAGTTAAAATCCTAAGATTTTGCCTCTAGTCTGATTTGAACCATTGATCTCATCTATAAAAAGCTGGCAGCTTAACAATTAAGCTATAGAGTTCAACTTCAAAAAAATAAAATAAAATAAAATAAATTTTAAAAAAACTATATAACAATAATAATATATAATAATATTTGATTTGCAAAACATTACTGTAATGCTATGTACTAAAGAAAGATGATAAATAAGATTTGAAGTTGTTTTTTTCACAATTTTGATTTTTTAAATGCACTGTATATTATTTTTTATAATTTGACATTTATCATAATAGGTTTTATTCATATCTTTATCAGTTACTATGACTGAGTTAAAGTGTCTCCAAATCTAGGATTACTTTTAGATCCACCAATGTCTTTCTAATTTTTGTTTTTTAGGTTGCTTATAACTATTAGTAATGAACTTTTCTACATTGGAATTTGGTCTTTCATAAGCTAAATATTAATACTATGTGATTCATCTTCTTTATTACTGAAAGAGAACTGTACAAAAATATTAATGATAAATGCAGTATCTTTATTTAATATTGAATTAAATTCTATTTTATTAATTAATGTCAAGGTTAATTTGAAAAATTAATCAAATTAATATTTAATTAAATCAATATTTATAGAATTTGTTATTTAATTAAACAATTTATTACAATCAAAACAATAAAATTGGCTTTAACTGATGCTTGATGATTAACTAATTAAAAACTTAATAAATGAAAGTTTATTTCAATACTTAAAAATTTTGATTGATGTTCAAATAATTATTTACTGATTTCACTCTCTAGTATAAAGAATTAAGAGCTAGATAATAAAGATTTTTATTAATTAGTTTTTTTTTTTGATAAGTATCAAGATTAGATAAGTTGTTAAAAACAATTTGATTAATAAAGGTTTGAATGATTTTGTTAAGCAAAAGTGCATTAGTATAAATATGCTAGTAAAAATAAAAGTTAGCTAAGTTGCAATAAAAACAGTTAGTATCTGAATATTGGTTTGGATAAATAGTATAAAATAATTAGTATATCAGCAATTCATTAAGAAGAATTTTAATTTTAAAAGATTTTAGTTAATTGAGTCTAAAATTAATAATATTGTATAAAGGGTTTTGATTATAATTAAAATAAAGCTAAGTGGATCTTTAGTCAATATTTTAATTAAAGTATAATAACTTACTGTTACATTTTT